CATTGAAGAATATGGGTTATGATTGAGCACACACAAAGACTTCAAATCTTGCTTTACTTTGACTTGATAATACTAGAGTTTGCCCTAACGACTCAATGAAGGATTAGAGAAACTAGTAAATAAAATCTAGTCAGCAACCTTCAATTCTTCACCCGGTGTTTCAAAGACTTTCATGCTCGCACACCATTTTTAGGGGCCATAACCCACTGGTTAAGCCAAATACTTCGGACTTTCACATGTGTATAGGAAACAAACACATTACTCCCTTTACCATGTTGTCATTAATCATTGAAGACGACAGGGGGGAGGGTAGTAGGTGCACTTATGCATGGCAAAGGCAAAAGAAACTTAAATTATTATTATCTAATTTTGGGCGGTTATCAAGTCTAAGAATTAATTTCTATAAAAGTGAGTTGTTACGCTTCCGTGAGGCTCGCAAAGCCTTCATCTACTATGTCAAATTTTCCGGCTGCGAGCACAATCAAATCCCTATTCGATTCTTGGGAAACCCGATACACTGCCATAGGCTTTCAAATATCAACATGAAGCATATTGTAGAGCATGTTGAAAAGCGCATTAGTAGTTGAAAGGGAGAACTTTTATCCTAGAGAAAGGTTACTCCTTATAAACTCGGTGCTAGGTAATATGTTCTTATATATACTATGCTTCTATCAACTTTCAAAATGAATTTTGCATAAGCTGGACTATTATAGATCACAGTTTCTCTCACAAAGTGACCAGAAAAAGGGAAAATGTCGACTAGCAAAATGAGATGCTATTAGTTGTCCAAAAGAGTAGGGTAGTCTGGGAATCCATAACCTGGAAACTAAAAACATTGCGCTCCTCGGTAAATGGCGATTTAAGCTTCTTACAGAGGATGAAGTGCGTCAAGACCTCTTGCGTAATAAGTACATTGGCTTGAAAGCATTGTCCCATGTTCTGTGAAAACCAGGAAGTTCACACATTTGGGATTGTCTTATGAAGGCCGAGAACTTTTTAATTTCTCTTCGGATCGTTCATACTTAAGGATGATTCTGAAACAAGGTTTCCGGGAGGACTAATGGTTAGAAAACAGAGTAGTGCCCAACTTTATATGATATTGTAGCGTTCGGGCTGGCTCCTCTGTGAGAAATTGTGAAGTTTGGAGATGGAGAGTTTAGCTTCTTGGAGGCAAAGTGTTCGGGTTGGCTTCCCTCTAAGAAATCGTGAAGTTTGCAACTCGAGAGTTTTAGAAAAGGCCCTAAATGCTTGGGGTCAAAATCATGCGTGAAGTTGATGGAGTTAGAAGCTGGAGGAGATTAGAACAGGCCTTTAGTCACTCAAAGTTGGGCAATCTAAGCCCAAACCTGCATTGCTTGAATCTTGTTGGCCTCACATTAAGGGTCTCTTTGATTCAAAGGATCTTCATAGGATTTTTGAAGCATTGTAATCCTTAGGAATTTTTCCTACGTTGGTCGTTTGATTCGTAGGATTGAATCTTGTAGGATTTTTTTCCAAGGATTTATTTGTACTACATTTCACAGGAATTCTAACATCCACTCCAACCTCTTGAAAAAATCCTTTGATTTTTCCATAACACAATCAAACAAACTCAAATCCTATAGGGATTCAATGGACATGCCATTTCAATCCTACATTTTTTTTATTCCTGTATTTTTACAATCCTATGAATCAAAGAGTCCCAAGAGTGAAAAATAGTGGCCACTTGTTTTTGTGACAATGGTACAGCGCTAGTAGTAGTAGGATCAGCATGAGTTAATGGTAGTGGTGGGGGTGGTCTGTGCCCGGCAGCAAGACGTGGTGTGCTCCATCTCCATGGTTTTCCGGACACCCCCATGCCCTACGCCTGCGCGCGCGCGCGCGAGAGAGACCGTCCTTTGGTCCTGCAAGCAAAGGTCCGTGCGTCGTTGATTCCGTTAGGCCAACTTCACCGCGCGATCCCAAACAGACATTCGTTTTGTCCGGTTTTTGTTCCTTTGAGTAGGGATTTATGATCGTGTCCGGGCCTGTCTTGGGATGCGGTGGCCGTGCGCCCAGCGCGCGGCCGCATCCTTTTGCCCTATCCTGTCCGCGTCTATTTAAAAAAAAGGGACGTTTCCAATGCCAAGCCCCAGTTCACGACCCGAGTTCATCACGCCGACAACAAAGCCAGCGGCCTACACGACCATCGCCGGCAACACAGCCAGCGGCCGGCGACACAGCCAACCTCCAAAAATGAATAGTTGTCCTCGCCGGCAACACAGCCAGCGGCCGGCAACACAGCCGACCTCCAAAATGAATATTTTTTCACCGGCACACTGCCAGCGGCCTATCGGGCGGACGACACCCATGCCAGCCACCAAAAAGAACGGCCACGCCGATCGGACGACCTAGTTCAGGCCTTCGGCATCGAGCATCTCCTTCTGCTTGGCCTCGAACCAGGCCCTCGTCTTATCGCTCATCCTCGACAAGTCCACGCTCATGATCGCAAGGGCCACCTCCTTCGCTTTGGTGGCGGCATTGGTGGCCTCGATGTCGAGCTGCCTTTGCCGGGCGGCCTCTTCCATGTCGAGCTGCCTTTGCCGGGCGGCCTCTTCCATGTCGAGCTGCCTTTGCCGGGCCGCCTCCTCCATGTCTTTGGGTCTCATCGGGGTCGTAGGCACGGCCATGCCCACCCTGGAAGATCACGTCCTCCATGTACTGGTTGTAGAAGGGGTCATCCACCGTCGGCGTTGAGGTTGGCATTTCGTCAAACAACACACGGGGGGCGGCATGGTTTCTTTGCATCTCGACGGAAGGCCGCCCGCTGCTGCTGGACCCAGGCGTCACGTTGAGGTCGATGACGGCCGCGGGGCGTGGTGTGGACGGCGCGAACAAGCCCATGTCCGGCGACGCCGAGAAACGGGTCTGGCCGTCGTGCCTGGGTGGAGGAAAGCCGGGCGACATGGGCGCGACGCGCGACGTCGGCGACTGGCAGTGCGTAGGCCGGGCGACCGACAAGCCTGTGCCCGCCGGGCCGACGGCCGCTGCATGGAACCCCGCCGGACGGCCCATGCCAAGCATGACGATGGCGTGCGCTTTGTTGACAAGGTCCTCCTTCTCGTCGGCAGCGGCCTTGCGCCGCGCGGCCTCCAGCTCCTCGCGCTGGGCGGCGAACTTGGCCGCGGCGGCATTCATCTTGACGACCGCTCTCCGTTCCCTCCACTTCGCAGATTCCGCGTCCAACTTGGCGATCTCCTCCGACGTGTACTCCGACCGCGGCTTCCTTGGCGCCTTCTTCTTCACCTTTGCGGTCGGGTCGACGGCCAGGCCACCGGAACTCGGCGGGGCGTCGGCCATGGACGGGGGAGAGAGGGGGGCGGGGCGGCGGGAGGGACGTGGGAGGGTTTGGGGAAAATGGCGCCAAATGGCCGTCGGGTTTTTTTTGGTTTCTCCCACCGACAGGCGGGCCAGGGGAGGACAAGCGCGCGCGTCCCGCCCGTCCGCGCGCTGTCCGTTTCACCCAAAACCGGCGCAAGTTTGGGTCGGGGATGGGTCGAAAGCGGACACAAAGCGGACAAAAATCCGTTTGCTCCCGCGCGCTGGGCCGTCTTTTTTGTTCCTTTTACCTCAAACGGATGGGGCCGGACAAGATAGGGTCGCACGGTGGAGTTGGCCTTACACTTGCGTGACTGCAGTACGTCACGGTCCAAGTTCGTTGGTTCGTTCGTTGCGGGAGGGAGAAGAGGAGAGGGGAGAGGGGACAGCGCAGCGCAGTGCGAGGAGAGAAGACGTAGATGACGTCGCGAGGCGAGCAGTGCAAGCAACGAGCGAATATATAATCGTCGCAGGCACGTACGTACAGTACGCACACTAGCACAGTGTACAGTAGAGTACAGAGATGGAACTCACTCCACTCCACCACGAGTCGTCCTCGTCGACCGCCCAACAGCTGTCCCTGCCTGCCTGCCTGCGCTAGTACAAGTGCGTCAGCTACCACACCACCAAGACTGTGTGTACTCTACGTTAGGAGTAGAAAAGACGGTGGAGTATACAGCACGTACGCATGTACAATGTGTATATGCACGATTGCACGTACCCAAGAGAGAGAGAGAGGAGGAGGGAGCGAGGGGTGGCAAGAAAGTCCAACCTAGGCTGCATAAAGTTTGGATG